CTCACAGGCTCACAGGCTCACAGGCTCACAGGCTCACAGGCTCACAGAAGGGACAAGTTACAGTCGGAGACAGCAAGACCAGCTAACACCAGAGACAACCACACGGCAAGAGGCAAACGCAAAAACATAAGCAACAGAAACCAAGGCTACTTGGCATCATCAGAGCCCAGTTCTCCTACCACAGCAAGCCCTGGATACCCGAAAAGTAAAATCACCATCTTCAGACCATTTTATGATACAATTCTTGATTTGTATATATTGATTGTTTCTTGTCACCTTACATGGTGGTTTTCTTGATGAGTGTGGGCAAGAATGATTGCAGCACAGTACAAGTAGGGCTTATCAGTCATGTGGAAGCTCAGGGCATTAAAGATGGAGGAGAGATCAGGGGTTCAGGATTCAAGACTGGTCTCAGATGCACAGCAAGTTTGTGAGCAGCCTGAATGACACGAGACCCTGTCTCAACTCCCCACCGCCCCGAACAAAAACAATTTAAGAAAGAATCAGTACTGTCCATCCTTCAGCACATTAAAAGCTGAATGGGCACACTGGATGGAAACAAACGACAAAAACAGAACCATTATGGCTTTTCTGATTGTCCTGACTCCCCATCCTCATCCTGGGTCTCCAACCTGCCAGGCAAGCACTCCTGCAGAAACCTCTACCCCGTATGTTTTTCTTTAGGACATTTCTAGACTTCCAGTTCTGTCTATACTCAAGATGCATTAATATTGGCATGTGGTTTCTGTCTTGGTTGTGTTCATCTCGCAACTAATGGTCCAAACGATTGGTAAGTCAAGGTCATGGTCAGCACCTGGAAGCATGCCAACTGCAAATCTCTTTGTTGCCCTGCTGAAGGCTAAACAAATCAGACTCCCTGCGGTAGTCTCAGGGTCATGGGTTAGAACTTATTTTTATATGCTACTTTTGAAGTCAAGTTTAATGATTTCCATCAATAGTCTAGAAGACATTGATCTAAAGATATTAGTAAAATAATTTGCAAAGAACTACTTAGATTTAAAACTTCTTTTTTTCTTCATTAGAGCTAGGTTAATACTACACAAAGGTTATTCATGGTGTGTTCTGTTCATCTTAATCTGAAGATAGCAAGACCCCATTTATCTCTACGTCTGGAGGGGGTTAACCAGCTCAAGATCTTGAATGAGAGGGGGGAAAAACTCCGTTGAAGAAATTTCCATGTTCAGTATTCGTCGTGAAATGGGTATTCAGGATGGTCACTCCACCTGCCAAGACAACCCCACAAGAGGAAGACAGTTTACTTTAATGTGGCACAGATGTATTACCAGCATCCTTATGTCTTGTTTCTAGTCCTTTCCCTTTGGTTTCCCCTTTTACTTCCTTCTCATTGCCCCTTAAGCCAGTACCTCTCCATGATGATACACACAGTAGGCAGGCATGGAAAAGTTGGTTGTGGATACATCATTTCACTCATAACAAAACAAAATGAGAGACTCCCTGCCTGTACTTGTATTCGAAGTGTTACTGTTTGTAATAATGATGATTCTATCTTGTACTGTTACAATAATGACCATGATGATGATGATGACGGCCCTAATTTTTAAATAACAAATGTGAGACTGTCTACAACAGTCTGGAGTGTGTGTATGTCTATCATGGAATAATAGCCAAGATTTAGCTTTCTGAAAGTACTACCAAAATACAAAACAAACATGGCTCTCCAATGACAGAGGTCAACAAATTAGCATCAGAGAAGAGGCATAGCTCATTACCATTCAAAGACACAGTTTTTGTTTAAATTAATGGAGCTTAATCTTCATATCACTTTGTTGATTTTCTAATTTTTTTCTGAAGAATCAGTCATTTTCCCTTAATATTGTTAAAATTGGTATTAGCATTTCAAATGCAAATCATACAATGCATTAGTAAAAGAAAATCAATAGAATGGTAGATTTAATCTATATTATTTCTTCATTTAATGATTTATTTATTTATTTATTTTATTTATGAGTACACTGTAGCTGTCTTCAGACACACCAGAAGAGGGCATCCAATCTCATTACGGATGGTTGTGAGCCACCATGTGGTTGCTGGGATTTGAACTCAGGACCACTGGAAGAACAGTCAGTGCTCTTAACCGCTGAGCCATCTCTCCAGCCCCATTTAATGATTTTTTTTCAGTAAAAATAACATATCTTCAAGAGCTATTGATTAACTGTGGCTTAGTTTCCAGTAAGATACTATGTGTGCTTGCATTTTCTCATGTGTCCTATGCTTTAATGGCAAGCAGTGTTCTCCCTGGAAAACTCACATTTAGGAGCTGCTTTATTACAGTAATTCAGAAAATCAATACTAGTGCATTCAAAATACTTTCCGACTCATGAAAAGTAGTGAGATCAATTGTGTTCTGACTCTATGCATTTATCTTAATGGGTGCTGCCTAACACATTGCTTAAAGAGAAGACCAAATAAAGTTACTGCCAACATTATTTGAGAAATCAAAAGGAGTAACAGGAAACAAGGAACAAAATATATGCATACATATATACATTTGGCTGTGTAAGACACACTAGTTTTAATTTAAAAGGTCTGCAGTGTTTAGGCAACAGTGTCTTGGGTGAGCTTGACAATCACTATACATGGTATGATGGTTGTATATGCTCAGCTCAGGAAGTGGCATGATTAGAAGGTGTGGCCCTGTTGGAGTAGGTGTGGCCCTGTTGGAGTAGGTGTGTCACTGTGGGTGTGGGCTATAAGACCCTCATCCTAGCTGCCCAGAAGGCTGTCTTCCACTAGGGTCCTTTAGATGAAGACGTAGAACTCAGCTCCACCTGCACCATGCCTGCCTGGATGCTGCCATGCTTGCCTTGATGATAATGGACTGAATCTCTGAACCTGTAAGCCAGCCCCAGCTAAATGTTGTCCTTACAAGAGTTGCCTTGGTCATGGTGTCTATTCACAGCAGTAAAACCCTAAGACACATGGTGTGATAAAATCTCATAGAAAAAATAGCTGATAGGTAGAGCTTGAAGCTCTGAATCATATTTTCTAGACTTACTTCATTATTTGTATGTGTATAGGTGTTTTGGCTTCATATATTTCTATGCACCACATGCATGCCTAGTACCTGGCGAAGCCAGAAGAGAGTGTCAGAATCCTGAGAACTGAAGTCACAGATGATTATTAGCCACCATGTAGATGCTGAGAATTGAACCCAGGTCCTCTTAGACACTGAGTCATCTCTCCAGCTCTATTCATTTATGCATTTATTTTTGAAAGAAGTCTTCAAAATGTCTTCAATACATATTTCTGGCTGGCTTGGAACTCACCGGATAGAACAAGCTAGCCTTGAACTCAAAGAAATCCACCTGGTTCTGCCTCCTGAAGGGTGAAATTTAAGGTATGTGCCACCATGCTCAGTTTAGTTAGTTAGTTTTATTTTTGAGTATTGTGTGGGTGTGAACTTACGTGCACTACACGCCTTTGAGGACCAGTAACTCCCTCAGAACTGAAGTTATTGGTGATTGTGAGCTGCCTGATATGGATGCTGGGAACTGAACCCTGGTCTTCTAAAGAGCATCAAGTACTCTTAACCACTGAGCTATCTTCCCAGCCCCAAGACTCTGAATCTTACAGGCAAGAAAGTATTTGACTTAAACTCTAGGTTCTTGGTTCACAACCGGATACTCTTTCTACTATTTCATAAGCAGGCCTCTCTCAAAATTTTTCTTTTTAAGGAATTTGCTCCAACTTGTGTATTGTTTTGATTTTTAATTAGATGTAAACAGTGTTATTTCAGAATTTGTGTTGTCGCTCTACCAAGTGTAGCATGAAGGGTAATTCTCCTTGTCTCCATGCCATGCCTTTACCTAAGTGGCAGACATTCACCAAAGCCTGTCTAATACTCAGCACACTCTGCTCATGCCTCATCCTGGTGTTTCTATGGGCACAGGTAAGGGTTCACAGGAGCCTTATTGTTAACATGTGACAAGCTCTCCCTGATTAGCGTTCCTAGGACACTTACATGAGCAGTTCCACATAGCGGATGTTTTTATTCAAGGCTTCAATGTTCTTCATTTCTTCTTCGGTGAGAGAAAAGTCAAAGATCTAAATAGCGGAGATAGAAGACAGAACATTTGTGAGGATGAATCAGAGAGTGGAGACAGTAAGTGAGAGCCTCAGCTAAGGCCCTTTGTAAAACAGCCAGCATCTCTGTGAGTGTCTGAGAGAGCTGGGCTCCTGTATGTGTGCATGCGGGGTGCATCAAAGAGGAGGGTGGGGGACAGCTTGATCTTCTGTTCTGACCTTTGCCCTGAAAGCAGTTTTGCTTGGGGCTAGTCAAACTTACCAAAGAGTATGCATTTAAAACATCTACTGTCCCACATGTGAAGAGTTCTGATTTTTTTAAACACTGGATTTTAAAAATTCTAGACTATTGCCTTACACACTGAAAAAAAAATAGCCTTTAATCTGCTTATTCTTCTCATTTGCATCTCCCTGATAGCTGAGAATGCTGAACATTTCTTTGTTTCTTGCCCATTTGGGTTCCTCTGTTGAGAATTCTCTGTTTAGCTTTCTACCTGGTTTTGTTTGGTTGTTCGTTTTAAGTTGGGTTATTTGGTTTGTTCATGTCTAATTTCTTAAGTTCTTTATATGTTTTGAATTTAGCCCTCTTTCAGATGTGAAGTTGGTGAAGATCTCTTCCCATTCTGTGGGCCGCTATTTTGTCTCATTGGAGTTTCAAGTTTCAAGTGACAGCTCATGCCGGCAAGGCTGTGGACCAAGGGGAATACTTTTCCAGTGCTGGTGGGAATACAAACTTGTACAGCCACTTTGGAAATCAATATGGCAGTTTCTCAGAAAATTGGAAATTGACCTACCTCAAGACCCAGCTCTACCACTCCAGGACATATACCCAAAGGCCACTCGATCCTTTCATAAGGATGTTTGCTCAACTATGTTCATAGCAGTTTTATTTGTAATAGTCAGAAACTAAAAACAACCTAGATGTCCCTCAACTGAAGAATAGATAAAGAAAATGTGGTACATTTACACAGTGCAGTATTCCTTAGCTGTTAGAAACAATGACATCATGAAATTTCCAGGCAAACGGATAGAACTAGAACAAAAGTCATTCTAGGTGAGGTAACTCAGTCCCAGAAAGACACACTTGGTATATACCAGTTATAAGTGGATATTAGCTGTAAAGTAAATGACAATCATGCTACAGTCCACAGACCCAGACAAGGTAAGTAACAGAGGGCTTAAAAGAGGAGGGGCACAAGAATCTCCCTGGGAAGGGGAAATAGATTTCCAATGACTGACTAAGGGAGAGTGAGGTTAGGACCCAGAGGGACCAGAAGTGTGAAGGGAGAAAATACTGGGAAAAATGACTGGAATTGGGGGGCATCCCAGGGGCGAGGTGGAACTAGCACAATGGAAATGTCATGGAATCTATGAGAGAAACCGTAGCTAAGACTCTTAGTGATGGTGGACACAGAGCCTAAACCAGCCATCTTCTGTAACCAGGCAAGGCCTCAAGGAGAGGGATGAGGACAACAACCCAGCCACAAAATTTTCGACCTACAGATTTTCCTGCCTGTGCTGGGACCAGAGCCTAGCAGAATTGTCCTCAAAGAGATCAGAGAGACTTCATCCAGCAACGGATGGGAGCAGATGCAGAGTCTCACAGCCAAACAGGAGGAGATCCTTGAGTTCTATTGACAAAGGAGAGAAAGGATCGGAGGAGCCAGAGGGATCAAGGATGCACTAGGAGAACACAGCTCACAGAATCAACTGACTGGAACTCATGAGAATTTGAATCAATCAGGGAGCCTGTATAGGTCTGACCTAGATCCTCGGCATGTGTTATGGGTGAGTAGCTTGGTGTTCTTACAGAAATCCTAACAGTGGGAGTGAGGGCTATCCTTGACTCCTTTCCCTACTTGTGAGATCCTTTTTCTACTTCGGGGATGCCTTGTCCAGCTTTGATGTGATGGTAGGTGCCTAGTCTTATTGTAGCTTGTTGTGTCGTGTCTGGTTAATGTCCCTGGGAGGACTGCTCTTCTCTAAAGGGAGGAAAAGGGTTTGTTCTGGGGGAGATGGGAGGCATGGGGAGAAGGGTTGTGGGGAAGGGACGGCAAACTGTGGTTGGGATACACTGTATGAGAGAAGAATTTTTAAAAAGAATAAGCTTGCTTATTATGTTAATAATAATAATGTCTTGCTTTGTAGCTCAAGCTGGTCTGGAACATGCTAGCTATCTCAGGCTGGTCTCTGCCTCACAATCTTCCTGTCAGCCTCCTGGGATCACAGGTGTGCAACTCTTTCAGTCTCTCTCGCCATTCAAGACATCTTTCTAGGGGTTTGTTACCATTATTTTCTCTCTGTGTTTCTCACATTCATTCATTTAGTGTGTATATGTGTACATGTTGCTATTCACGTGGAGGTCAGAGGATGACTTGTAGGAATTGGTTCTCTCCTACCATGTGGCTTCTCAGGATTGGACGTTTGCTTGTTTTTGTTTTTTTGAGACAGGGTTTCTCTGTGTAACCCTGGCTATCCTGGAACTTAGTCTGTAGACCAAGCTGTCTTCAAACACAGAGATCTCCCCGTCTCTGCCTCCTGAGTACAGAGATTAAAAGTGTGGGCTACCATGAGTACCTCCTATGAGTTCTTTTGTAGCCCTGGCTGTCCTGGAGCTCACTCTGTAGACCAGGCTAGCCTCGAACTCTCGAACTCAGAAATCCGCCTGCCTCTGCCTCCCAAGTGCTGGGATTAAAGGCGTGTGCGACCACCGCCCGGCTCTATGAGTTCTTTTTTAAGCGATGAAAGTTTTGGCAACAGTGCCTCTAGCCATTGAACCATCTTGCTAGCCTGTTTTTATTTTTTTCCTAGCTTTTATACTTTGTTTATGTTCTCATTTTATAATTATTCTGTAATAGCATTTAAAATCTTTATCTTCCCTTAAAACCTATATAGTTTATCTGTTTATAATTTGTAATTATGTAAGCAGTCTGTAAATCTATGCTCTTTGTAAAACGGCAGTATTATAGGATAATAGACACGTATGGGAGGAAAAGTGGGCGGTCCCTCTTCACTCACTACCCACCTTTGCTCTCGTTCTAGGTACTAAACATGTTAGGAAAACACAGTGTACAGATGGGACATAGCTACCTTCCTTTACTTACGTATTGGTGGTCTTCGTGATCTGTTTTGTGAAGACCTGGAGGTAACATTTGTTATTCATTTACCTCTCACAGGATCTGTTAAACACACTTACTTAATTGATCCTCTATAGATCATTTCTAACTATTCTTTTCAGAGAATTCTTTTCTTTGATTATTAATTATCCAGATGTTGAAGTTTGATTTCCCAACACCCATGTGCTAGCTTACAACCATCTATAACTCCAATTCTAGGGGATCTGGCATCCGCAGGCACCAGGCGTGAATATAGAGCATGTATGAGCATGGAGGCAAAACACTGACATATATAAAATAGAATAAAAAAAATCTAAAAATTTAAAAATTTTAATTACATAAACCAAGCACTAAACAAACTAATAGCTCAAAAGGGGGTCCTTCTATGGATTTACTTTTTGCTCACGGTGAGCCAGTCTCTCCTCTGTGCCTCTACTGTGGATCCTAGTGACAAACTGCAGTAGATCTTATGGGATCACAGATTTCAAGAAATCAATAATAAGAGAAGATTTGAAGATTTATTCTAATTATAGATGCAATATTTCCCAAATAAGGATAAGACCAAGTTAAAAATTCTACTTTGGCAAGTGTATTAACATATCAATATATCTCTATATCTATAAATATCTATTTCTATATCTAATTTGAAGAAAAGAACAGCCAAAATTAAAGTACCTTTTCAGATGAATATTATTCTTTCCAGGATCATTCTACAAAAGACTCTATGAAATACAGGCTGCTGCACTGCGCTATCATGTTCATTTGTCAAGTGTCTTTTTTAAAAACCAGCACTGATTCTGTTTCTTCTGGGAGTCAGTATGCATAAGTAACTGGAACCTGAATTTTCTGTGAATCAAATACGTCCACTTATTTTTATAAATTTTGGCTTTTAACTGAAGATGAATTTCCAAATTCTCCCTTTCTGTGTTGTTTCTAACCACTAATTTTCCTTGTTCAGTGTGGTTTGAATTTTTCATAGTCTCTTTTATTTCATGGCACAAATTATCTTGCGTGAGTGGAGATTTCATACTATAAAATTAAATTAACTGCCAGGTAATCATGCTGGTAACCTCGGAACTTGAAGGTGGCGGGGAAGCTTCAGGAATTCAAAGCGATTCTTAGCTACACAGAAGGTTTGAGGACAATGTGGACTGCATTGGACCCTCTCAGAAAACACATAAACCACCCACACTCTTGCTTTTCTTCTCAAAGCCTCCGTATCATATAGTTTCCCGTCAGAGCAAATGTTCCAAGAGGGAGAGCATGTCAACTAGACTAAATGTGGCTGAAAGCCGTGACCCCACAAGGACTGAGAACGAAGTTCCCGATCTGCGGTCTGCTCACGCATAAGTCCCTGGTGACTCTGAGAAAAGCTGCCCACATAGACCGCCAGGGTGAGAGTTCGGTTTTAATGGGTCTAAAATAAAATGAGAAGTGAATTGAGAGGAGATCTCCTTTCCAAGAGGTTGCCTGTAAACAGGAAGAGAGCAGTGGAAACGGCCAGAGAAAGTCTACGTTGGCTTTAGTCTACAAGTCTGTCTGGAGTCTGTCTGTTGATGGGGGTTACACAGGCAGAGGAGTGCTCAGCATGCAGGATGCAGAACATTCTCCAGGGGTGTCAGAGCAGACAGCACCATCTTTTCACATGTCCAAAGGTAGTTCTCTTACCTGAAAGTTTTCTTTGATCCTTTCGGGGGTAACGCTTTTAGGAATGACAACTATCCCTCGCTGGATGGTGAAACGCAACACGATTTGAGCCTGTGTCTTGTTGTACTTTTTCCCCAGTGAGGTTAGGAGTTCGTCATTTAACAAGGGTGGAGAAGATACATTCACCCTTCAGGGTGGGGCAGTGGGGAAGGAAGAAAGGAAAACCCATGTCATCTTTAGATGGACGGCAAGAATTCATCAGTCACCTGCTAATGTTCTTCACTGGTCACTGCCACGACACTCAAGTCACCTCTAACTTCTCTGAGTGTAACAAATCATGGAATGAAGCGGTGCTCTAGCACGAGAAGATGAAGAGAGGCAGGTGGGTGGGGCTGATGCAGAGGACACATAATAGAAATGTATATAATATATATAATATGTATATATACATGTTCATGCATACACACACACACACACACACACACACACAAGTTCTCTCTCTCTCTTCACATGAGCACCTGTGGGGTGAAGAATCTAACAATTTGAAGTAGACATAGAGGGAAAGGCAAAAAGACCAGAATAGAAGAAAGTAGCTCAACTCTTGAAATTGGGGTAGACATTTTCCTAAAGCAACTTGTTTCTATCAAAGGTATTGCCACTGTGTACCAAATTCAACAACTTAAAAGCTTTCAGAGCACGACTGCAGAAACTCTGTCCAGTAATGTCACAACATCTACTGAGTGTTTCTTACATATTAGGCAGCCATAGGAAATGCCATACATGAGTGTAATCAATACGTAAACCCCTCAGTAAGGAAGGCATCACGAGTTTTCATGTTTACAGAGATCTTGACATGAGCAGGCCATTTCTTGAAGATCTCACAGCCAAAGACAGTCTCCCACTCAGCTAATTCACACTGGTTTTGTGCCCTAGCCACATAGAAAGAGACATTTCTTGATGAGAATACAGAATCACTTACCATGATGGGTTGCGACAGGTCCCTAAGGGGCTATAGGCGACAATGACGATGTCGTGCTGCTGGCAGAATTTCAAGAGCTTTGCCTGGGTGAAATACGGGTGGCACTCCACCTGTGTGGTTCCATGAGAGAAGAGAACAAAGATAAGGCCTATCATCAAGAGCAGTTTCACATAGCTTTGAAAGCGTTATTCAGGTGCTGTCGAGAGGACACAGTGGGTAAAAGCACATGCCATCAGGTCTTGTGACCTGACTTCCAATCCCTGGGATACACATAGTGGAAAGATAAAACCAACTTCTGAAAGTTGACCTCTGGTTTCCACACACATTGTGTGGTACACACACACACACACACACACACACGCAAATAAAAACACAATGGAAAAACTCAAAACCACACATAAAAATAGCTATCCAGAAAGGCTGAACAGTGGGCACTGGTTGATTCATTGATGCTCTATCCATTGCTTAGAAGAGTGTTGTTAAAACACACGAAACCAAAGTTTGGTAGGTTTTTTTTTTAATAGTATTTGTTTTAGTTTTATTTTATGTATGTGCATGTTCTGCCTCACATACATGTGTGGGCACCACATGTGTGCAGCGGTGCCTGTGGAGGCCAGAAGACAGTGTCACGCCCCCTAGAACTAGAGCTGCAGATGATTGTGAGCTGCAGTGTGGTGCTGAGACTCGAACCTGGGTCCTCTGCAGGTCTGATTGGAATGTGTTACACGTGATAGAACATCATATTTAAATCAGACTTTCTCTTACAGTGAGACAAACATTTTCCCTAACTTTCATACTCCTGGGAATATTTTCCTGTGAATTCCCATCTGTTTACTTTGCTTATTTTCTGTTAAGTCTTAGAGGTCTTTTTATTTTCTCTGATCAAGTATTTTGATTCACTTGTATTAGTCTTTTAATCCATAAATATATGGATTCTCTTATTGTATTAAAAAGCCCCGTCACTTTCTATTATTCCATGCTGTTTGTTTCTAGCAGTGTTTTCCTCAATTCTATAGACTTAACCCTGGACTGTGTGCACACTACATGAGCGTGCCACGATTTGGCTGCAACCCAGTCCTCTTTCCAGTATTTTTACATCAATCCAAGTTTTCTTTGTGACTTTTCCATGGCTTCCTTTTGTATACAAAGCTAAGTTCTTCTACTGTATTTACAAATGATTTCTTCTTTTTAACCTTGGTGTGTGCTGTTTCCGTAAAGCTCTTTTAAAAAAAAAAGATTTATGTATTTATTATATATGAATACATTGTAGCTGTCTTCAGACACACCGGAAGAGGGCATCAGATCTCATTACAGATGGTTGTGAGCCACCATGTGGTTGCTGGGACTTGAACTCAGGACCGCTGGAAGTGCAGTCAGTGCTCTTAACCACTGAGCCATCTCTCCAGCCCCGTAAAGCTCTTCTTGTTTCTAGAGAGCCGGCCATTGTCCTCAGACTTCTGAAAGATTCATGCTTTCCCACTATGTTTGTGTGGTTTCATTTTTATTATACCTTTTTTAAAATTATGTTTGTTTGTTTTGTGTTTTTTGGTTTTGGTGGTTGTTTGTTTGTTTGTTTGTTTGTTTTGAGACAGGGTTTCACTCTATAGCATCAAGGCAGGCCTTGAACTATGATATAGCTTGGACTGGCATCTGACTTGCTCCATGACCCAGGGTAACCTTGTATTGGGCCCTTTTTCTTAAGGGATGTGAAATGAAAGACGTTAGAAGGTTGGTTTAGAGTCTTGAACTATGGTTTCTGTGGAGCACCTAAAAGACTTCGTGCTACAAAACCCAGGAGCCTTGTTAGCATTTGAAAGTTCTACTGGCTGAGAATGTCATAAAGTTATTGTTTCTAATAGCTGAGTAGTATTCTATTGTGTAAATGTACCACATTTTCTGTATCTATTCCTCTGTTGGACATCTGGGTTCTTTCCAACTTCTGGCTATTATAAATAAGGCTGCTATGAACATAGTGGAGCATGTGTCCTTGTTATATGTTAGAGCATCTTCTGGGTATATGCCCAGGAGTTGTGTAGCTGGTTCCTTCATGAAATTCGAAGGCAAATGGATGGAACTAGAAAATATCATCCTGAGTGAGGTAACCTTGTCACAAAAGAACACACATGGCAAAAAGAACACACATAGTAAAAAGCTCAGAATACCCACGATACAACTTACAGACTATATGAAGCTCAAAAAGGAAGACCAAAGTGTGGATGCTTTAGTCCTACTTAGAAGGTGGAACAAAATAATCACAAGAGGCAAAGGGAGGGAGAGACTTGGGAGGGAGAGAGGAGGGGGAGAGAAAAAAGGGGGCAAGACTAGGTGTGGGAGGAGATGGGGGAAATGTACAGAGGGTCAGGAAATTGAACAGAAGTGTATAGCAGTGGGGAATGGGAAACTGGGGGTAGCCACCAGAAAGTTGCAGATGCCAGGAAAGCAAGAGGCTCCCAGGAGTCAATGGGGATGGCATTAGCTAAAATACCCAACAAAGGGGAGAGAAAACCTGTAGAGACAATATCCAGAGGTTAGGCACAGCCCCCAGTTGAGGGATGGGACCATCCACCCATCTCAAAAATATTAACCCAGAATTGCTCCTGTCTAAAGGAAATGCAGGAACAAAGAGTGGAGCAGAGACTGAAGGAAAGGCCATCCAGAGACTGCCCCACCTTGGGATCCGTCCCATATGCAGACACCAAACCCAGGCACTATTGCTGATGCCAAGAAGTGCTTGCTGACAGGAGCTTGATATAGCTGTCTCCTGAGAGGCTCTGCCAGAGCCTGATCAATACAGATTCGGATGCTTGCTGCCAACCATCGTACTGAGAGCACAGGGACCCCAAAGAAGGAATTAGGAGAAAGACTGAAGGAGCTGAAGGGATTTGCAACCCCATAGGAAGAACAACAATATCAACCATCCAGACTCCCCAGAGCTCCCAAGGACTAAACCATCAACCAAAGAGTACACATGGAGGGACTCATGGCTCCAGATACATATGCAGCAGAGAATAGCCTTATCTGACATCAATGGGAGGGGAGGCCCTTGGTCCTGTGAAGGCTTGATGCCCCAGCATAGGGGAATTCTAGGGCAGTGACGCAGGAGTGGGTGCACAGGTGGGTGGGGGAGCACCCTCATAGAAACAGTGGGGAGAGGAATGGAATAGGGGGTTTCAGAGGGGAAACCAGGAAGGGAGATAACATCTGAAATGTAAATAAATAAAATAACCAATAAAAACAATTTAAAAATAGTTCTACTGAGCTAAAAGCTCATGGCAAATCTCTTGCTGACCATGTAGGTGACCTCGGGCACCACCAAGACCAACAAAACTTTGCCACAGATATGGGGAAGGACCCTCATACCCGTAAAGGGAATGCCCCAGACCCAGTTCCCTTATGGAGCCAAGGACTGATATGCCTGTCCAATACCACAGAAGGCACAGCTAACCGGCTACCATAAATATTAATGAAAAAAAATAGATACACTCACAAAGCCAGGCCCAACCATAAATACGATGAATAATAATTTACATCCAGGGAAGAGAAATCTCCCTGAGAATCCCCTTCTTTTTTCTTTCCAGGCAAAAATGAATCACCCGTGATGCCTGCCATTAGAAGTTCTAATCCAGATGGGCCAGAAGTCAGGATCCTCGCCCTTACCCTCACCCCCTACCTTTTCCCAGCTGCACAAGGTTCCCTGAAGCTTGGCAACTGCAAGATCCTGCTTGGAAACTGCAGATAGACTCAAAGCAGTGTACCATATCATCTGAAGAATAGCAAGGAGACCATAACTCAAGCAGTGTACCATATCTTCTGAAGAATAGCAGGTTGCAGTCCTCCTCGCCCCCACGAATAACTAGGGCCTGCCAGTCGGGTCAAGTGGCACCCAGACGTGGGGCTCGAGGCACGGACCCCTCTGGACGGACCCTCATTGAGAGGATGTGCGCAGGACATCAAGATTAAGCGAGACAGAGATCAAAACCCGCGACCTGTCATCCACGGAACCAGGTTGATGCTGCCATCAAGAAGACGGTTGAAGTTCATTACCATCAGCCGAAAATTGAAGAGGATCCAGAAGTGACTCTGCAGGAGACTGACACAGCTGCCAGCTCCCCTGCCTCCCCCCCTACGGTCGACCGCTAGACTTCCACGCCCTCCAGAAGGGTTCCTGGTATGCCTGGCTTTGCCCCCGTTTCTCTCGATAGAGAGCTTGGCCTCTTGATCACCACAACAAAAATTGGCTTTTTCCTAAACCAAGGCCGCCCTTGATATGGCCGCTAACATTGGGGAGCCTTCCTTTATGACAATATTACACCCCAAACTGACAAATGGTTGGTAAATTGAACATTTACAAGGGACTAGGATGGCTGTGAGTTAGCCCAATGACGGGATTATTGTAGGTCCACTTCCCAGGGGCCCACCCAATGCAGCCGAAAAGGAGTGCGTGGTGCTGGGAGTGGGTGCAGCCTACATGGCCTAAGGCAGGGCCCTCACCCTCCTTTCACCCACATCGGAGTCCCTTGACGTTGCCCATCGTCGACAGCCTAAAACCTTCAACCATCGATGTGACTAGTCTCACATCAGTGTTTTGGGGTTGTGAACTTGTCTAAGACCCCCCATAATTAGACATCCAAATTCAAAATTCACATAGTTGGGATTGATCATAAGATGCCTTCTCTAACTAAACAGAGAAGGGGGAGATGCCAGAAGCCAGGACCCTCGCCCTTACCCTCACCCCCTACCTTTCCCCACCTGCACAATGTCCTCTGAAGCGTGGCAACTGCAAGATCCTGCTTAGCAACTGCAGATAGACTCAAAGCAGTGTACCATATCATCTTAAGAATAGCAGGGAGACCATAACTCAAGCAGTGTACCATATCTTCTGAAGAACAGCAGGTAGATCATAATTCAAGGCAGTGTACCGTATAGACCATGACATGTTTCAAGGCACAGGCCAAGAAGATTTTGTACTTTTCCACCATCTGGCCCCTCTTACCCCCTCCCCTTGTGAAACATGCTATAAAAAAGCATTTCATGTTCAAAAATAAATAAATTATTTATTAAAAAAAAAAAAAAATAGTTCTACTGGATATCTCTCCGCACTCAGCAAAAGCCACTGTGATCTACCTGGTTGGTGACTGGCTTGTACTTGAGTCCTGGCTTGTTCAAGATGAGCTCCAGCTGCCTGCGGTTAAAATTAGACACCCCAAGGGATTTCACCAAGCCAGCATCTTTGCAAGCTTCCAATGCCTGTAGGGTAAATGCCAACAGTCAGGAAAGATGCTCTCAGGAGGCAAGAATGAATGTTGCTGTACACACCCACCCCATCCCCAAATAGATGCATATTATAAAAACTAAGACAGAAGAAAACACATTTTGATAGATTCTAATATATGCACATAATAGTAAAATTATTTACAATATCCACTTATAAACACGATCAGTGGAGTGCAGATAAATATTTAACATTCAGCTATCCAGGGCAGAGAAATAACAACCCAGTTTATGGCATTTATCAATTCCTGTGGTGTCAATACCTTATCACTAGGCTGTACTCAAGCTAGCGAAATGACATCCCTGTTCATGGAGCTGGAAAGAGATATGCAGAGTTGGGTTTTTCAAGCTGGTGCAAGCTTTTTTCAACACACCATTGAAAAGGCAATCTCTCCCGCCTCCCCTAGCCCTCCTGCTACAATCTCCACAACATAGCCTGTGGATCTACTTCAGCATTCCCTACTCTGTTACACTGATTCACGTGTTATGTCAATGCCGCACTATACAATTTCTGTAACGATGTAGCAACTCTTAAATCTATTATAACTCCTTCAACTTCTGTTTTAAGTAATGTTTTTAAGTTTGGTTTTGATGGGTCTGGAGAGATAGTTCCTAAAGGACCCAGATTCACTGCCCAGCACCCATGTCACACAGCTAACATCTGCTTGTAACTCCAGCCCCCTACTGGCCTCCGTGGGCCTCCACTGATGGCACATCCCCATGCAAAAACAAATAAAAAATGTTAAAAATTATTCTTTGGAAATTTCATACATGCATACAATGCTCCCTCATCATGTCTCCTTCTTTTCTTTTTTTCTAAGTTCTTCAGGGGCATTGCAGATATTTGCATTTCCATATACATTTTAGCATTAGTTTTTTTTTTCTTATTTCAATGAGTGATTTTAGTTTTTACTAGGATTTACTGAGTCTTTGGACAAGTTTGGTGAGAATTAACATCATAACAAATTGAATAATAGGAGATGTTTTATATTTATGTCTCCATTCATTTAGACCCTTGATTTCTTTTAGTTATACAGCCTAGTTTTTAATGTTGAAAGCTTATGCATATTTTATCAAATTTCTATCTAAATATTTAACATTTTTTTTAAAGATTCAATTTCTAATTGTGTGAGGCTAGTATATGGATTGAATATAGTTGGTTTTATTCCCTTTTTGTCTTATGAATTATTTATACATGTTTATCTGTTCCTAAATATTTGATGTTTTCTCAGATATCTTTTTGTTCTTGGTTTCAGATTTAATTTCAGTTGAATAAGATGGCACACTTTGCTTAACTAGAATACTTATTGAGATATTTTGTGAAGGAGAAAAACCTAATTATGCTACATTTTTCCATGGGTACTAAAAAATCGGAGTTCTATTTTTTGTTTGTTTGTTTTCTTTTTAGGTTTATTCATTTTTATTTATGAATGTGGGTAATTTGCTTTCATATATGTTTTAGCATCACATGTGTGCAGTGTCCCCACAGGCCAGAAGAGGGCATCAGATCCTCTAGAACTGGAGTACTAGATAGTTGTTAGTTACCATATGAGTGTTGGAAGCCAAATCTGGGTCCTCCCCAAGAGCAGCAAGTGCTGTTAGCCACTGAACCGTGTCTCCAGCCCTTTGCTGGATTTGGGTGGAAAGTTCCAAGAGAGTAAATTATGTCAAAAGGTTGACCACACATGAGTCTCATAAATTACACAGATTTTATGTGTAGTTATTTTTCTTAATTAGTAAGAGGCTTTGAAATCTTTAATTACAAATGTGGATTGCAGATTTTCTCCTTTTTGTTGTTTTAGCATAGGCATCATGCCTAAGTTCCTTTCTAGAAGCTGAAATAGTCAAATCAGATTTCTCTGGATTAAGGCTAAACTAATATATCTATTTCTATATGTTTTTTCTATTAACATGCTTCTGTCTTTTTATTTAATATTATTTTATACACACACACACACAAGCATACACATGCATCTGTGTGCACACACATAGTGGGACTTGGTTTTCTGCATTTTGGCAAATTCTACCTTTACATTGAAGTGATTGCACTCCATGTACTCTGTAATTATTGACATCACTACGTCTTCCACATGGGCATTTACCTTCTGATTTATATCATTCATTTCTCTTCTTTCCATGCCTTTCTTTTTCAGTGGATTGTTTTTATTATTCTAATTTATTGATGCACTTACTATATTCTGAGAGGCTTAATTTTTTTTCACCTAGCATTTCTCCTTGATTTGCTGAAACCACATTATAACCATAGTGGGAAATGTGAAAGAAATGTATTGTCTTTTCTATCAAAGGGGTAAATAAGACAAGAAAAACACCAATTTAAAAGATAACTCTGCAAAAATACCACTTAGCAAAAAAAAAAAAAAGTCTCTTCTCAGGTCAGAGTTTTCCTGAAATCAAAATATATGTTCAAATTTACATTCTATGTAAGGCTGGGTCCTGCTTATCAACTGCTCACTAACTTCCGAGTTAGCCAATCACATAAGAATGTGAGGCCGGGCCTGACCACACCCTTCAGATGAGGCACAGGACTCTTTGATCTAGGAATAAAGATGCTATGATTGTTTGCTTGGTTTAGCACCTATGCATCTTTCTGCAGAATGTTTCTAAATTTTCTGCGTTGCTGAAATATCTGAGTGTGTGATTGTTTTCTTGAGGCCCCAGGCCTGTTCCCAGTACCACGTAGCCGTGGGTTTCTTCTTCTTTCTGTCCTTAGCATCTTTCCTTCTTCAAATACCGCCATTTTCTTCCTTCTGTCCTCTTAGCTGGGAATTCTAATTTTATTCTTTATATTGCTTAGCGTTTCCTTTCATATTCAAGTGGTTGTTGTTGTTATCATTTGTTTTGTTTTCTGTTGTTCATACTAAGGGGGTTTTCCTCATTCTGATTCTTTGTTTGTTTGTTTGTTTTTTGTTTTTTTGTTTTTCAAGACAGGGTTTCTCTGTGTAGTCCTGGCTGTTCTGGAACTCACTCTGTAGACCAGGCTGGCCTGGAACTCAGAAATCCACCTGCCTCTGCCTCCCAAGTGCTGGGATTAAAGGCGTGTGCCACCACCGCCCAGGCTAATAAGATTTATTTATTTATTTTATGTATGTGAGTGCACTGTTGCTGTCTTCAGACACACCAGAAGAGGGCATCAGATCTCATTACAGATGGTTGTGAGCCACCATGTGGTTGCGGAGAATTGAACTCAGGACCTCTGGAAGAGCAGTCAGTGCTCTTAACTGCTGAGCCATTTCTCCAGCCCCCCTCATTCTGATTCTTAAATTCTATATTTTTTTTCTAACTAATATGCACTCCCATGTATTTTTAAATGTTTCCTTGTTAGTATCTTTATTTGTTTGCTTAAGTTGGGTCTTTTTGTTTGTTTTTTGCTCTTTATTTGTGTAGCTGATATCTCTTTTTAAGGCCTTTTAAGACAAAAGGCTTCTTGGTCCTCTGTTCTGTTTACATTGGTATATAACTGAGATAAGTTTTCTTCTGAAGTAAATGGGCTGCTACTTTGGACCATGAACTGGTTTTCCCTTCCAGCCAGCCCCTTAGAAGGGAGGACCAGACTCTCAAATTCACCACAACAAAAAAGTAAGTCTATGGTCTCTTGGATACAGGCCATGGCTATCAGAAAACCTTCCAGACAGCTCTGTGGTTTACACCCTCAGCTGTTACCCCCAGAAAGAAATAGAAATCCTTACTTATCCCCATTCTCTTGGCTTTGGATTGGCAGATGGAGCTGGGAGTAAAGGCAGGGAGAGGGAAATTGCTGTGTCAGGGTAAACCTTCAACACTAATCAACCTCCCCTCCCTCACCCCACCTCATCAGGGCAGCATAGAACATCCCTTCCCTGCATACACTCCACAACAGTTTTCTTATGTTCCTGAACCTTCCCACTCATATACTCCCAAGGAAAAGAACCAATGGATGGTCCACAAATGGAACTAGAATAATTTTTAGCTTTACATGGGCTATTTTTAATTTCTTTCAGACATCACATTAATTCTTAAAACCCAATTTTAAACTAGTGAACTATCTCATTTTTTCTTTAAAGTACTATTTTAGTAGAACAAATTATTTCTTTTTCCATTTCTGGTAATTACTGTCTTCAGTATGAATTCTTCACCACCAAGGCTTGCTGTCAAGCCTGATGACCTGAGTACAATTTTCCAGGACCCACATGGTTCCACAAGATATGCTTTAACTTACATAGTATATGTGTACAAACATACACACACAGACACACATGCGCACGCGCACACACACACACACACACACACACACAGAGTTTCAAGATTAAAAGAAAGACTTATTGAACACCTACAAGGAAAGGTTTCATATGTCTGCACCTGTGGCTAGAAACTCTGTTACTTGTTATTGTAACCACTTCCACTTCAGCTGTCAGGGCTTGTGTAGGAATAATAGGAGCCTTAGGTAATAATGCACCTTTTACAATTGCTAGCCACATTTTACAATAGAGGCCCACATGAACTCACCTCCCACGTGGCACACAGATTTGATTTGTAGTATATCACTCGGTTATTTTCATCTACAGGATAAGTTTCCTTTCCAGGCTGTAAAACACAAAACATTTATTTACACTTTAGAATTAAAAATAGATAATTTGAGTTGTCAATAGACCACTATACTGTGACCTTGCAAATCAAGTTTACCAATTTATATACTTTTCTAGTAAATATTATATGTACATATAATATTGTGGCAGCATGTAAAACATATATTTCATAAAATTCTATACCATACTATACATTCCTGAATCTTTTTAATAATATATGATATGTAATTATACAGAATATGATATTTTATAATGGCGGGGGTTCCTGAAAGTGTCACAGCTGTCGGGAAAATGATTCAGGTGAGGTAAGAATGGAACTTGACTCAGCCCAGCTTAGCCGGTGTTGGACTGAACTTCTCGAAGTCTGACATCAGTTGGTTTATTTTCATCATATTTAAGCATCACAATTTTGGAAAAGAAGTTTCCTGATGACAACTCAGTCCCAAGTTTCAACAAACTTAAGATAGATTTACATGGAAACTCTTTACAAGGCACATATGGCTGGCTTCTTCTATAAAGATGGGTTCTGTTAGCTCTGAAGCAATGCTCAAGATACAGGGGGGAGGGTCTAGGATAAACAAAACAAACGTCCTATGGGGTGCGGGTGGAGCCTGGCTCTACAGAAGCAGAAAGTCACCAGCTTGTAAACTATACACTTTCCTGGCATTCCAAGAGGAAGACAGGTAAAAATCTTTTTCCTTTGACGAGCTAAGGCTGTGTGTTTAACTTTCCTGGCTTCTCTGGTGCTTATCTATGTGAACAAGGACCTCTTGCCCTCAGCATCTTCTTGTTTCTAAGTTTTTAAAGAAAAAAATAATGGCCATATTAGAGGACATGATTAAATGCATTATCTCTATGGCTATACCATGGCTAATTATATAGGCATGTATAAGGATAGCTATCATAGGACCAAGGAAAGGGGAAAGCCATAATGGGCATTCAAAGGTCACTTGAAAGATTTTATCTATCTCTTTGTACAAATCCTTAACTTGACCACCAATAATAATAGAAAAATCTGACATATTAAAGCAACACATGCCAAGAAATTGTTGACAACCAAGATTATACTTGACCAACAAATAATCTATAGTGGCTCTATTTTGTAAATCTGTGGTCCTCAATTCACCCATCTCTTGATTAATTTCAGCTAATATTTTGCCCTAATATTAATAGCTTTACTAATCATATAGGCCATCTTTGAGACTTCTCTTTGTATATCAGTAACCATTCCTGTGATTATCAATAAAAGAACATAAAAACAATCTTTAGCATGGCAAACGCCATCAGACTGTCTGCTCTTACAGGTGTGTCTTTTAAGAACCTGACAAAACCCAGAGATTTTACATTGACAAGCTGAGAGTTAATGTACAATACAGTCAGTAAACATAAGAGCAACATTTTGGGGTCTGTGTCCAAGGACACACAAGTATAGTGTTCTTTTTGTTTCCCCAAAGTCTCAGTTTATGAGTTAAAGTCTTGCTGTCTCTCCCCACAAGTTAGCAATAGACTTACTATTCCATCTTGTCTTAGTTAGGGTTTCTATGACAGTGAACAGGCATCATGACCAAAGCAACTCTTATAAAGGAAAACATTTAATTGGGGCTGTCTTACAGTTCAGGAAGAGATAGCAACGCTAGACATGGTTTGAGTATCTGAAACCTCAAAGACCGCCCCCAGCAACATACTTTGTTCAACAAGGTCACATCTAACAGAGACACTCCCTATGGACTTATGGGGGCCATTTTCATACAAACCACCACACATCTCCTTTTGATAAGTTTGTCATCCACTTTCAGATAGTTTATCTGTCTGATGGTCTTTGAGATTTCTTGCCAGATGCATCAAGGTAGGAACGGTGAGATTTTATTTATTTTCTGGAAAGATGTAAACATAATCTTGCCTTGATGTTCAAACATCAGGCACTTTCCATGATTAGTTTTTAGATCTTATTATTTAACAGATACTTTAAACAGGATGATTAGTTTTTAGCTGTAATGGAACTCTTTGAAAGGACATGTATAAGGTCCTATTTGACAAAGTCAAAACTTAAATATAACACAATGCTATTTTTCTAGGTCTTATCCCACACCTAGGGCATGAGTCAGGGAAAGACAGTGTACACATCTGTAGTGAATTTTGAGCATAGATTTCTACATACTTGACAACAGAGAGTATCCCATACACAGAAAACAGTAGTTGCAGATGTCAATCTGATGTTCAATCACCATTAATTATATACTAGCTTGGGATACTGTGAAATTATCCCTTTATGGGACCTGAGATGATGATGCAAGGCTTTAATCCCAACACTTGGGAGATAGAGGCAGCTGAGTCTCTATGAGTTCAAAGCCAGCCTGGTCTACATAGTGTGTTCTAGGCTAGCTAGGGCTGCATAGTAAAACCCTGACTAAAAATCTATCTATCTATCTATCTATCTATCTATCTATCTATCTATCTATCTTTTTAAAAAGATTTAAAAATTCTTTAGATTGTGGGAAACAATGCCTTTAATAGAGACTAGCTCTCTTCAGCCTACTTTAACTTCTTTTCTTGCCAGAGTCTTGATCATTTATTAAACCAAAGGCAAGCATAAAACTTAAAAAAAAAATCTATTTCATTAGCAATGGCCAATAACTTTTAAAGACTTAAAGTTAATGCTATAAAATTTGAGATTTCTAAAATTCAGGGCAATTTTAATTTTGAGCTCAAGACTCTCCTATTGGGGAGCAGGATATTTAGAAGTGCCTGAGAAACAAATGCAGAGCACGAAAGAGAAAAGCTTTCCCAAGAAATCATCAACATTGATACCCAGCTTATATTGTAAATGAAGCAAAGAAACACAAGTGATATCAAAGCTTGACAGCTTCATAGAGCAAGAAGTTGCCTGGTAGCTTCTATTTGTACTACATTTTGTAGACAGTCTGTCTGCTGTAACAGATTTTTAGGCTGTATCAAAATATAATAGGTAAAAACTTCCAAATAACATGATTTTTACTTGATGTTTTTGTTTAACTCCTCTTGGCCTCAAAGGGAGTTTGAGAAATATGTAATTACTGTTTGCATTTATTGGTTGTCCTCCAAATGAAATACTTTTCAAAAATTTTTTTTAAAAAATTACTTCCTGTTTTCAAAATCCATCCCAAGTCTGTTTACACTGTTATTTTTAAAGTTTTGTTATATTATACAAAAATATAAATTTTAAAAATGAAGTTTTGGTAATCATAAATAAAAAAGGAATCTGGGTGGCATCTGGCTCTCATTGCTTGAAAGGTGTAAAATTTTAAAAAAGTCTTCGTTCTTTATGTAAAAGACAAGGTAAGTTTTTCTTATTTTGCTGCTACTCCGAGTACACCATTGATGGATGAGTAATTTGACGAGGCATCAGCAGGGAAAGCATCCATAGTCTTAGTAACAGACAACTCACTACACCAACCCTTTGGGGCAGCTGCCCGCCAACAACCTAAGTCAGGGCTGCTTCTGGCTTTCCCATCCGCAGGTTCTTTCTGCTTGTGTTCTCTGGACACAGAGTGGCCTCCAGTTCACTATTGCTATCATGTTTTAATAGTATTTTTAAAAATTTACCTATTGCAAAGAAAAATCCCTTTAAATAAAGAAATAGTAAAAACTTACATTGGAACCTGTTTTGTGAGTTATCTCTTTGAGCATGAAACCTGTCAGTAAACTGTCTGTATAAACAAACTTGTATTATTATTGCTTTAGGCTTAACCTTGAAACCATGTACAGGAAGCTAAATAAAGCTTACCCTTGTATAATAAATTACATTTGTATTTAGTATGACTACAAGTACAGTTTTGAGAACATTGCAAAATTTGATAATTTTTAAGTGCCAGAAAATTAACCTGCATTTTAAAATGATCTTTAACATTTTACAACAAGTTTGCAGCTTTTGCAAGTATTAGGTTTTTATCATTTTATCCCTGTTGAGTTTGAACCTTAATAATTTGTATTTAAGATTTAATTGAAAAGTCCTTTAGCATCAAAAAAATAAATAAAAATTTAAACCATAAATACACTCTATAGAGAGAGTAGGAACTTTGTTTTCTGACTTGTTCATAGTGTACCATTACAGAATATCAGGGTTAGTTTTTTTTTTAATGACTCAGTTTATCCAAACAGCTAAAGCTTAAATCAACTAAGTTAGCAAAGACAAAGAGACTAGACATCGATCTTTAAGTCAGTTTCTGTTAGCCTGATTTAGGAATTTATAAGCCTTATGTATCATATATAACTTACTTGTCAAACACCTGATGTTTCTTGTTTAAAATTTCCTTGAAGTCAAATGCTGAACAGTTAGCAAAGACTGAAGTAGTTAAATATACATCTTTAAGTCAGGTTTTGTTAAGCTGAGAAGACCTTTATAACTTTAGGAATTTGTCATTATGTAAAAATTCATTCTAATCCAAAGTATTTTGCAGACCTGTTGTGGCCGCCTTAGTCTAAACAGGAGATGACATGACAGACAGGAGGTTCAGCAGGATGGACACCTTTTATATTTATAGGTGCTGCCTATAAATATATTTTTAAACTATTAACCATTTGTTATAAGTGGTTTTTAAACTTTTTTAAAAATTTTATTTATTTTATATATATATGATGAGTACACTGTAGTATCTTCAGACACACCAGAAGAGGGCATCGGATCCCACTACAGATGGTTGTGAGCCATGTGGTCACTCAAGTCAGTCCTCTTAACTGCTGAGCCATCTCTCCAGTCTCATTTGTTAGAAGTTTTAAGCTAGTTTTTGTTATAGATTTTACAGATTTTTTTTCATGTTCAATGAACTTATACATCCTAAGACACAAAGTTTAAAGTTAAAAGATTTTTACGAATGAAAAGTAGAAAAGGCTTAGAGATTTTTTTCATCCACTCATTGCATTATTTTTACGTTTATAACCTTTCTGTAACACTTCTTTTCTTTCAAGTTACACTAGATTACATTGTTAGTGTATCTGTGTCTTTTATGCACAAAGTTATAC